CCTCGCCCCACTCTCTGCGCAGTCCCAGCCTTCGCCGCCGCTTTGTCTCCCGGGTGCCGCTGAAACCTCTCCCGACTCCGCAGCGGCGGCGGCAACAACAGCGGCGGCGGCGGCAGCAACCTCCTCCACCTTCCGGGCCTCTTCCTCCTCCTCCTCCTCGGCGGTGCTTCCTGCGGGAGGCGCCGTCTCTGCCTCTCCGGCGGCTCCTCTCGCGGTCTCACAGTCCGGCCCGGGGCTGTCAGTCGGGCCCCGGCGCGGCCGCTTGAGAGCTGGCTCTGGGCTCTCTGCGACCGGGGCCGCCACACTGCCGTTGCTGCTGCCGCGGCCGCCGCTGCGGGACTGGAGGAGTGGCGTCTCCTCATCCGCCATCTTGGAGCAGGAGCGACTGCTCCCCCCCCTCCTCCTCCTCTTCCTCCTCCCCCCCTCCCCACCGGCCCAGGCGGCGGCGGCAGCACCAGCGCTCAGAGCGGCGCCGTAGACGCGAGAGCTCAGGTCCCCCTCCCCCCACCACAGGGAGCGATTTAAACGCGGCACGTGACCCCCGCCGACGCCCACGCGGACAGCCGCCCAGCCGAGGATCGCAACAACAACAAACCGCCTCACGTGACGGGCGCGGGGGGGGGAATAGCTGAGCGCGCGCACTGTGGGGGCGGAGAAGAATTTGGGTGAAGAGGCTGTGGTCACGTGAGAAGCGCCTCGGGGCAAGCTTTGTGCTCAAGCTCTCTCTCTATATAACGCGCTATATACACGTATATTAAACCCCTAATGTATTTTATTACATGACTTCCTCATAGTAAATGTTTAACGGTGTTTTTTTTTAATTATCTTCTTGTTGTCTGGCGGTTCATTCTGTCGAGGAACCCCACTGAAAATCAAGGGGATTTAGTTCTGACTGAAAAGGTTCACGGTCCCTTCGCTGTTTTCCCAACCACAAAAGGGAGTTCATTTACCAATAATAACCACAATGCGGGGTTAAAGCAAGGGCGCCAGGGCAGCAGGTGACTCAGGACTTCCCTTCTAAGAAAAGAAGCGCAAGCGCGAAGGTGTTTCTAGACGAGCGTGCAAACTCGCGAGGAACGGCTTGCTCGCTCTGGGAATGAGCTGTAGGGACGCGGGAGCCGCGGCGCCCCTCTGGGCGAGACCGGGGGGAGGAGCGGAGGAGGGTTAATGGCCAGGAGGGGAAACGGTGGCCTTGAACAAAGAGGCTTGTTACGGATTAATAAAAGGTGGGATAAATACGTTGGAAAGTGATGCAATGAGAGAGCAGGCCTGGGCTATCTTGGAAGTAGAAGTCCCGCTGAAAACCGGAATCATTTGGGGCTCTATTGACGACTGCTTTTTGCCAAACGGCACTCGCAGCGGCTTAAAAACATAAAACAGCAAACAACAACAAAAACACTATTATGCGACTGAAGGGGGAGAGGAATCGATTCGAATAAGCACTTTCCCATAAGCATAGGTTTGCAACCTGTAAAACATTTATACAACAATCTATAGGTTAGCTGGGATCCTAAACAAATGACACTAACCTATGCGGCTTTTCCCCCTCCTTTTATCTTTAATTTTCGCCTCTGATTTTTTTAATGCAACACATGGACACTTTAAATTTTGCTGGCTGTTGGAGGGGCTTCCTTTCCCACACTTATCCTTTCAGAAAGATGCCTTGTGCTAGCACCATTGGTATATTGATCTGTTAAAGAAGGTTGGAATAAACTAAAATAATGTTTCTAAAACAAGAAGTATTAAAGCACACAATTCTGGTTAATTATTGCTTGTCAAAGAGGTAGAGAAGCAAGGGCTGTCTTACAAGCATGGGCCTCGGTTAACAGAACTCAACAAAAACAGGTTGAGTACAGCCACATGTCATTTCTGGTTCAGACAGACATATTCTATGGTGTCAGTATGGGCAGCGGCAGTTCTCCAGCAAGTAACCTTACCTGTTTTTCAGATTTTATAAAGAATAATTTTGTAGAGACCATGGTGTAATGAGAGTCCTACTGGATGTCTTTCAAACATTCATGGAGTGGCACACACCTATTAAAATTATTTTAGGAGACACCTGGGCAAAGTGCGGTCCGAGGGCCATATGCGACTCACGAGCCACTCCTGTCCAGCCCACTGATAGTTTTGAACATAAAAACTATTTATAGCTTTTTGTCTAAAGTTGATCAGTTGCTTATATTTAACATACCACAAAAAAGCTCTTTAGTATTTGTGAAGATTTACAAGTTTAAAATAAAAACAATCATTACATCACTGTTTCATTTTATTTTTAAGTAAATTTGGTTTGACCCTGAACACAGTTCAGATTTTTCATGTGGCCCCCTATAGAAATTAATTGCCCACACCTGCTACTGAGGAAGAGCAGACGACAAGTACAGGTTGGGCCAAAGCTAAAAGGACGGTCAGCTGCAGACGCCCCTGGAAATGAAAGGAAAGTCTGATGCTGCAAAGAAAAATACTGCATAGGAATCTGGAATATAAGATCTATGAACCTTGGTAAGATGGATGTGGTCAAACAGTAGATGGCAAGAGTAAATATTGATATCCTGGGTGTCAGTGAACTAAAATGGGCGGGAATGGGCGAATTCAATTCAGACAATTATCATATGTACTATTGTGGGCAAGAATCCCTTAGAAGAAATTGAGTAGCCCTCATAGTCAACAAAAGAATGGGAGAAGATGTACTGGGAGATAATCTCAAAAATGTTAGAATGATTTCAATACGAACCCAAGGCAGACCTTTCAACATCACAGTAATTCAAGTTTATGCACCAGCCACCAATGCTGAAGAGGCTGAAATTGACCAAATCTATGAAAACCTACAACACCTTCTAGAACTGACACCAAAGAAAGATGTTCTTCTCATTCTAGGGGACTGGAATGCTAAAGTAGGGAGTCAAGAGATAAAAGGAACAACAGGTAATCTCTCTTCCTTATCACAACAATACACCCACAACAAGACACACTAATCACCCATCTTCTGAAAGGACAAAAGCCTATCGTACAGCCATAAATACTCCCAAGCATACTACACCAGAGCACAGAGTGCTGTCCTCTGAAGACACTGGCCACAGAAACTGGTGAAACGTTAGGAAGAACAACCTCCAAAACACAGCCAAAGAGCCCAAAAAACCCTTAACAACCAGAACAACAGGTAAGTTTGGCCGTGGAGTTCAAAATGAAGCATGGCAAAGGCTAATAGAGTTTTGTCAAGAGAATAAAGTGGTCATCACAAACACTCTTTTCCAACAACACAAGAGGCGACTGACTCTACAGATGTACAACACCAGAAGGGCAATACTGAAATCAGATTGATTACGTTCTCTGCAGCCAAAGATGGAGAAGCTCTATACAGTCAGCAAAAACAAGACATGGAGCTGATCGTGGCTCTGATCATCAGCTTCTTAGCCAAAGAATGCTCCAACTATCGTACAATTGCACTCATTTCACACACTAGCAAGGTTATGCTCAAAATCCTACAACCCAGGCTTCAGCAGTATGTGGACTGAGAACTCCCAGAAGTACAAGCTGGATTTCGAAGGGGCAGAGAAACTAGAGACCAAATTGCTATCATGCGCTGGATTATGGAGAAAGCCAGAGAGTTCCAGAAAAATGTCTATTTTTGCTTCACTGACTACGCAGAAGCCTTTGACTGTGTGGACCACAGCAAACTATGGCAAGTTCTTAAAGAAATGGGAGTGCCCTGACCACCTTGTCTATCTCCTGAGAAATCTATATGTGGGAGAGGAAGCAACAGTTAGAACTGGATATGGAACAACTGATTGGTTCAAAATTGGGAAAGGGTTCAAAATTGGGACAAGGCTGTATATTTTCCCCCTGCTTATTTAACTTATATGCAGAATACATCATGCGAAAGGCAGGACTGGATGAATCCAAAGCTGGAATCATCTCAGATATGCAGATGATCCCACTCTGATGGCAGAAAGTGAGGAGGAATTAAAGAACCTCATAATGAGGGTGAAAGAGGAGAGATGTTGTACACTTCTGAGAAATTTCCTGCTGCTAATAACATCCAATGGAATAAATGGTCATTATATGTAAAAATTGATCATAGTAAAAGCTGACCACTTTGTCTATTGTCTAACTATTTTTTTTCATTTAGAATTGAGCCAACTCTTCCAATATTGTATTACAGGACAGCACTCCAACTATTGATCACATCCCTCTGCCCCACCATGTTGCTGGCTCTGTAGTGTCAAATTTACATAATTTAGCAGAGGCTAAATACCCCTGATGTACTATATTTAATTCATTTTCACAGGACGGGGCAGAAGCTGATTTAATAGGGAACACTGACCAAATCTTTTTCCAACAAGAATCCAATATTTAAGAATTAAGATCTATTTCCCATACTGTTCTTAATCCCTTTGCTTTTCTATACATGGCTTCCAATAACTTCATACATTTTTGGTGCCTGTCCCCTAGTTCTATCAGTAGATGAGACATAAAGTTCTGCATATGGCATTAGAGATCTTGGTGGTCTTGGAGTGTGCATTATGTACTTATGAAAATTTCACAGCTGGAATTCTTGATATTAAGTAGGACTGCTATTTTGAAGTGTTGTCTGGAAGGCATCACTGCTGATTGGTAATCTGTTGCAGAAAAGATCTTGTATTCTAAAGACACCACATGATCTCCAGGTTTTATACAGGTTGAACTGCTCTTCAGAATGTAACTGAGGATGGTTCAGGTATGGACAAAGAGGACATGGAGGTGGTGTTTGACCCAGTGCATTCATAGATTATATGTGGCACCTAGGAAGGGATTTTCTAATTTAGTAATGCCATATATCTGAGATTAAAATGGTGAAAGAGAATATTTTATTTCATTTTGATCTTCATTTTCCATGTCAACCCCATGATACTGAATTATCATCTCTAATTACCCAAACTAATTGCTTTATTTGATAATCTTGAAAGTATAATTAAAGATTAGAGATGCCAGATAATTTAACTTTCCTGTGGAGAGTTGTTCCTGAAGAACTTTTAATCAGGGTTGTATTAGGTGGCCCGTTGATCATCAGTGATATCTAACCTTTGTTTAGCTATACAGTAATTTCATTTTTGAAATTTGTTGCTAGACCATATAATGGTGGCCCTTAGTTCATTTTGCTTTGGATGAGGTGTCTGTCAATAGCTACTACCTATAGTAGCCAAAAAGGAACCTCCACATTCAATCAAAATATTTCTTTTTACCAAATATCAGGGACAAGTAGTAGGGGATTTGTGTTCTTAGAAGCTTGTATGCAGAACATTGAGGAAACCGCTAATGGAGACAGAAATCTGGGCTTCTCCCCTCCTTTTCCTCCATCTGTTCTTGGCTTATATGATTAGTCACTGCCCTCTTTTAGGGTTATTGTTGCTGCTTTTAACATTTCTATTTTTATTTTTGTTTTCTATTACATATGTTGTATCCCGCCTAGAGTATTGCCTCGACACTAATGGGAGTGGGATACAAATTGAATGAATAAATTAATAAAATAAATAAATTCTTTTCCCTCTAACCAAAAGATTCTCTAATTGGCTTTTCTATCTGTGGGATCAAATCTTGTCTGGCTCAATAAGTAGAGTTTTGAATAAAAATAGAAGTTTTGGTAGATTATACACTTTCACCATTTCAGCTCTGCCAAGCAGTGACAGTCTAAGTTCATTCCACTTCATCATTTTAGTTTTAACCCTGTTACCTAATATTTTATAATTTCCTTAAAGTAGTTGGT